GTTTGTCCCATTTTGACAAGCCGCGATGTTGCTCCCGCGCCTTGCTCAGCCAGTGAGCGGGAACCGGGCTGTATGTGGGATCCGAACCCTCGGGCGGGAGCGCCGCCGCGCCTCCCAAGCGGCGCACTTATCCAGTGTGCCACCGGGCCGGCCCCTAAAGAGCATTTAAAAAACCTTATTTAAGTCATACTGACCCTGAAACAACACAAAAAATTCGCATTACTCAGGATTTTAAACAGCAAAATGATCAATTCTCCTGTGTTTGATAAGAGCTAATTTTGCAAGCAGACACACTCAGAAAGGAGATGGAATTGAGGAAAATTAGCAACTGGCAGCATTTTTCTGAAGTAAAACTTTCCTGTCCATTGAAAGCAGGTATTTGCGAGGTTGGTGTCTGTTGGCTCCAAGAACATTACTCACTGGTCCTACCAAGTACCCACAAGCAGAATTTGGAATCTCCAAGTGGTAAGAGATGCATCTTGGGAAGGGTCCAGAAGAGAAAATGTCTTGGTGGGAACATGTTTCTGGGCAAGCAATCAAGAAAGCAGAAAGATCTGGGCTGTGTTCAAAACCAGACTATACTTACTAGCTGTGTGCCTTTGGGCAAGTTACTTCATGTCTCAGTCATCTTTCTGCAAACTGCAGAGAGAGCTTTATTTACTATATCATCACAGAGGATACAGTCTGCCCTTATGACTCGGCAGTAGGAAGAGCTCTGGTTCAGATTCACCTGGTAATCTGACAATCTTGTCTTGGCAGCATGGTTTTAATTCTCTAATTAAGGTATGTGAGACCCTGTACAATCCACGTAATTTCTCAGCTTTCTTATTTTTGAAATCGGACCATTTGTCCTATCTACCATATAGGGTTATCATGAGAATCAAATCAATGAAATAACAGATGTGGGTATACTTTTTGTACTATAAAGTGTTATATTAGTAAAGAATAATAAACATTATTTCTGGGCTGGCCCCGTGGCGCACTCAGGAGAGTGCGGCGCTGGGAGCGCAGCGACGCTCCCGCCGCGGGTTCGGATCCTATATAGGAATGGCCGGTGCGCTCACTGGCTGAGCGCGGTGCGGGTGACACCACACCAAGGGTTGTGATCCCCTTACCGGTCACGAAAAAGACAAAAAAAACCCCCAAAAACAACAACAACATGCAGGTGACACCACACCAAGGGTTGTGATCCCCTTACCGGTCACGAAAAAGACAAAAAAAACCCCCAAAACAACAACAACAACAAAAACAACAACAACAAAAAAAACAAAAACATTATTTCCAGTGCCACCACCTTTCTGTGTGACTTTGGATACCCACTTAATCTCTGAGTTTCAAATGTATCTGCAAAGAGTATGTCCTACCTACTTCAGGCAGTGGTCAGAATTCTTATGGAAAAGGAGGTAACTCTAAGGGGAGAAAGATGAAACTGACAAAATCAAAATGGAACATTTGTAGACTATAAGTTGGAGCACCAGTAAGCATTAGCAATCATTATTATTAACACTATTGTTTTATAAGGAAGATGGATGCCTACAGGGGGTCAAGTGACCTGTTCAAGATAATTCAGTGGAGGATTGTTTACTAACAGGAAAATTCCAGTTACTGGAAGTTCAGAGCCTAACTGTAATTAACTCTTTGACTTTCTGTTATAAATATGGATTTGTCTAAATATGAATAATGTAAAGAACACCGCCCCAGGCCCTGACTAGCCCAGTCTGAGTTGAACACCAAACTTCAGGAGCTGGCGGGCTGAGAAATCAGCCTCCTGACCCTGGTGATCCTGCCCACCCCACAGCCTGTCTGCATGACTAACCCCACAGAGACAAGGTACTAAACCATGCAGGACAGAGAAGGATATGGGAAAACTTGCTGGACAAGAAGTAGGAGATAAGGTCAGTGGTCACTGCAGTGTGGTATACGGTAAAGCATGCTGTACTGTGCGTCAAGATCAGATTTCTAGTCCTGAGCATGACTGCATATTAAATCTGCTTGATAGAGCTGGCCAGTTAGTTCAGTTGGTTAGAGCATGGTGCCGATAACACCGAGGTCTGGGGTTCAAGCCCTACAATGGCTGGCAAAAAAAACAAACAGACAAAAAACCTGTTTGTTAAATAGCTTTCTTTCTTTCTAGCATAAACACTTGTCCCTTATTATTTTTATTATTTCATACACACAAAAGATTATTCAAAACATACTAATTATAAAGCACAATATATAATGAACAACTATGAAATCACCCCAAAGCGAAGAATTACAAATTATCAATAACTCGCATCCCTCTTCTACCTCAACCTCCTACCTTCCCCACAATACCCGCCAACTTAACCTGTATCTTAATTTTCTTCCCAAGAGCTAATTATCAGTCTACATCTGCACTGACCTCTCTACAGCATTTGACTCTGTTGCTCCCACCAGGGCCCACAGCCCTACCCCACCTGCACCAACAAACTCCCTCTTTCTTGGCTTATGTAACACTGGCTGTTCCTGGTTTTCTTCCTACCTTTCTGGTTGTTCATTCTCTTTCTTCCTTTAAGCCAGTAAAAGGTAGTTTTTCAAAATTTCATGTGAGGCCCTCTCTTCTTCTCGACTTTCTGTTATAAATATGGATTTGTCTAAATATGAATAATGTAAAGAACACCGCCCCAGGACCTGACTAGCCCAGTCTGAGTTGAACACCAAACTTCAGGAGCTGGCGGGCTGAGAAATCAGCCTCTTGACCCTGGTGATCCTGCCCACCCCACAGCCTGTCTGCATGACTAACCCCACAGAGACAAGGTACTAAACCATGCAGGACAGAGAAGGATATGGGAAAACTTGCTGGACAAGAAGTAGGAGATAAGGTCAGTGGTCACTGCAGTGTGGTATACGGTAAAGCATGCTGTACTGTGCGTCAAGATCAGATTTCTAGTCCTGAGCATGACTGCATATTAAATCTGCTTGATAGAGCTGGCCAGTTAGTTCAGTTGGTTAGAGTATGGTGCCGATAACACCAAGGTCTGGGGTTCAAGCCCTACACTGGCTGGCAAAAAAATAAAACAAACAGACAAAAAACCTGTTTGTTAAATAGCTTTCTTTCTTTCTAGCATAAACACTTGTCCCTTATTATTTTTATTATTTCATACACAAAAAAGATTATTCAAAACATACTAATTATAAAGCACAATAATATAATGAACAACTATGAAATCACCCCAAAGCCAAGAATTAGAAATTATCAATAACTCGCATCCCTCTTCTACCTCAACCTCCTACCTTCCCCACAATACCCGCCAACTTAACCTGTATCTTAATTTTCTTCCCAAGAGCTAATTTTCAGTCTACATCTGCACTGACCTCTCTACAGCATTTGACTCTGTTGCTCCCACCAGGGCCCACAGCCCTACCCCACCCTCACCAACAAACTCCCTCTTTCTTGGCTTATGTAACACTGGCTGTTCCTGGTTTTCTTCCTACCTTTCTGGTTGTTCATTCTCTTTTTTCCTTTAAGCCAGTAAAAGATAGTTTTTCAAAATTTCATGTGAGGCCCTCTCTTCTTCTTAGTCTAGACTCTCCTTAGCTTCCTCATACCCTCTTTGCTTCAGTTACCTACACAGATGACCTCCCCGCTGGTATCTCCAGTCCCAACCCCCCCTCTCCACTGTTGATGTGACATCTCTGTTCAATGTCTATAGGATATACAAAAATCAAATTCCTGACCCTTCTCAGGGGCCCCTAGGACAGTGAAAGGCACCACTATCCACTGTTACATAAGTCAAAACCCTGGAGTCACCCTTAACACATCCTTTTCCCAGTCAGACAATCAAGTCCTCTTGATTTTACCTATTTCACAGCTCTTAACCCAGTCTACTCTATCCAGTCCAGCACCACCACCAAAATCCAAGCTCCCGGGCCGAGTCCGTGGCGCACTCAGGAGAGTGTGGTGCTGGGAGCGCAGTAGTGCTCCCGCCTCGGGTTTGGATCCTATATAGGGATGACC